AATGCAACACGTGTTGCAGAGGACTCTTTCACTGCCCTCTGTGCCCCACTTTCAGCCCTACTGTCAGGGCAAAGATTGAGGAGCATCTAAGTGTGCATATAAAATAATGCTTTGCCTTTCAAAGGTATGTTTGTATTAAATATACTTTATAGTTATAAATATGCACTTTTTTAAGCACTTCTGCAGTATCTTTGTTGACTTAAAAGTTGCTGTTGATATTGTACAGTTCAGTTCATTCATCTGCAACAAAAATAGTGTTTTTATAAAATATATTTTTATTTACTTTTCCACCACTTTCCTAGACATAACTTTTGTGATCCATACCATTTAACTTTCATTATTGAGGTTGGCTTGGATGTTTTTGTTAACATGTACAATCTGATTGTTAGACAAATTGATTGCATTCTATACAACTACATTTAAATTACATCTGTTTGTTTGTTTGTTTGTTTTTTTCTCTTACAGATAAAATGATATGCCGGTGCAGGCTGCCTTGTAGGACAAAGGGACACTTTCACTGCCCCTGATTGCTTTAAAAATGTGTTTGTGTCATTATGATATTTTGGTGCCCAAATTTAAATAGTTGTGTAATCATAGTCTTCTTCACCCTATTGTCATATTACAGAACCATGTATCTGCTTCAAGGGTCATTGACTCATTGGAGGGCTTAAGAAGAGTGAAGTTTCCTTCTCGGGATACCATTTTTCATGCTTATTGCCATTTTGAGGCTTTGACTGACGCAGAATACATGTACTCCTGCATAAACTGAGGGTTTCACCCCCCTGTGGTAGTTATGGACTTACACAGAAAAGGGGTGTTCAAGTTAGCAGGTAAGTTTAATGTACATTTGTGTATATAGTTCATTGTGTACATTATGTGCATGTTTTTATGAGTCAATTTATTATAGTGAGTGACCTCAAAGCCCCGGAAGACTTCAATGGTGAACATGACATTGAAGGTTTTTGGAAATCTATTCACCTGGAAATGATAAGCCGTGGGTTTTTTCCAAGTGAGTGATGGCAAAAACTTTTTGAAAGTCATTCAGTGTTTTAAAGTAATTTAGATTGTAATTAAAAACATGCCATTTTCTGTAGGCGGTGTGAAGAATCCATTTTCCGTTCCACCAAGTTACACGCACTGGGCACCATGGATCGGGAGTGAAACTCGAACTAGTGACATTGTGCTTAACACAGAGTTTAAAAAAGTAGGAACAAGCTCTTCACATGAAGCAAAGCTTAGCAGTGTCACAGAAGACCGTCTGTTGGATGAACTTGCCAAACAAAAGGTAACATTGCTTTGAAGTTTTCAGAATATGTGACATAAAGTTCTGGGGTTGTTCCATTTA